ATCTATCTATCTATCTATCTATCTATCTATCTATCTATCTATCTATCCATCCATCCATCCATCCATCCATCTATCTACTATATCTATTGAGAGATAGCTCTTTGGTTGCTCACAAGAATGATGATAACAATTGCCCCATTTAAATAACTTGCAGTTCTGCAGAAACTATCTCTATTCATAGTTTAAGTACTACAACACTGAGGATTCCCTTCATATTCAGATGGCATTCTTTTTGAGGACAATTAGCCCTACCAGCTATCACTTTGGAGTCATATTCTTATCATCGCTTTTTTTGTAGAGACATTTGGTTAAATTATTGAATTAGGACCAAAAAAACTGAGGCTCAAGTCATTATCAGGGAAGAAATTGGATGCTCTATGGATAAATTGCAGTCTTTTCATCCAATTTATCTCCTGAGTTACATTGTGAGATAAAAAATGAAAGGAAGGAATATGATGAACATTTCCCTGCAGTCCTGAAATCAATCAATCAATCAATCAATCAATCAATCAATCTCTCTCTCTCTCTCTCTTTCTCACTCTCACTCTCTCACACACACATACACACTCTCTCACACACACATTCTCACTCTCTCTCTTTTTGTTTGCAGGGTTTGTTGTTGTCAATACTGTCGTATATCTCATACGAACAAATGACGCGAGTCAGTGACTTGGTTCAGCTCGTTTATTGGGGTCAAAACACAAGTGGGGAAAGTGGGGAAGAAGCGCGGCTTAAAAAGACCTTCTGCTGAGTGCTGCGGCCAATCGGGTCTCTTTGAATCGCCCGCGATCGGCTCAGCCAATCGCGGTCGATCCCGAGCGACCAATCAGTGCCGCGCACTCAGCCAATCCGGTGGCAGTGCGTTTTAGCCAATCCGGGTTGCCGGATTTCGAGTATGCAGATTTCTGTACAGAACACCCCTCCCCTCTTGGTTTGGTCCTACGTGACGTAGTCCCGTAAGTAGGCGGGGCTCCGTATTTTCCTACTTGACTTGCGTTGGTCAGTTGTCATCTGGTTGTCGGCCGGTTCGGGTGGGACTCCTGTCGCTCTCCGCCTCGTTGATGGAACCGCCTGGAAGGGTGAGTCAGGCCTCTCGCCGCGGCTCCCTCCTGGTCTTCCCGGGTCGGTCGAGCTGCTGGCTTCGCTGCTCCCGCTCAGCTTTTCCGGGCTGGTTGAGCTGGCTTGGCTGCTCCCGCTCGGGCTTCCAGGGTCGGTTGAGCTGGCTCGGCTGCTCCTTCCAGGCGAGGCTTCGAGTGGGTCGCTCTCCGGTTCTTCAGATGGTGAGTACTGCTGGTTCCTTTTCGGGTGGGTTTGTTCTTTGGGGTCTTCCCTCCCCTCTTGGTTGGTGTCTTGCCGGTTCCCTTCTGTGCCTGGTGTCTGCGTGTCGGTTGTGTTTCCCGCGGTGGTTCTTGATCTCAGTTGGTCGATGTGGCGCTTCCACGCTCGTCCGTCAGCTGTTTGGAGGCGGTACGAGAGTGGCCCTGTTGCTTGGGTGATCGTTGCCGGTACCCAGAGGGGGTCTCCGGTGAGGTTTTTTGCGTAGACCTTGTCTCCCGGTGAGAATGTTCTGTGTTTGCTGGTAGAATCAGGGGGTCTTTCCGGGTTGTATGTGGGGTGCAGGCGGTCGAGCGGGGATCGCAGTTTTCTTCCCATTAGTAGCTCCGCTGGGCTCTTGTTCGTTGTGGTACTCGGGGTTATGTGTTGAATTAGGAGCATTCGATTTATCTTGTCCTGTATGTCGCCGGTTTCGATCTTTTGGATGGTCTTTTTTGTAAATTGGACCATTTTCTCCGCCCTACCGTTCGCCGCCGGGTGCGCCGGCGCTGTTAATGCGTGTCGGATTCCTCGTTCTGCTAGGAATTTCTCGAACGGTAGTGCGGTGAACTGGGGGCCGTTGTCCGATACGATGACATCTGGGAGGCCGTGGGTTGCGAAGAGTTTGCTGAGTTCTCTGATGACGGAGTCTGTGGTTGTCGTCTTCATGTTGCTTACCTCCAGCCAGTTTGAGTAAGCGTCTACGGTTACCAGGAAGGTGTGTCCTTTGGTTGGTCCCGCGAAATCTACGTGGATTCGGGACCATGGACCCCTGGGGGTTTCCCACTCTCGGCTCGGGGCGGCGGGGGGGTTTGGTCTTGATTCCTGGCACTGCTTGCAGGAGGCTACCCAGGCTTCGATCTCCTTGTCCATCCCTGGCCACCAGACGTGGCTTCTGGCCAGGGCTTTTGTCCTAACGATGCCGGGGTGCCCTTCGTGCAGCATGCTTAGGACTTTTTTTTGTAATTTTTCCGGGATTACGACCCTGTCCCCCCACAATAAACAACCTTTTTGTGTTGACAGTTCTGTTTGCCGGCTCCGGTAAGCTTTGAACTCGCTGTCTTCCTCTTTTTCCGGCCAGCCTTTCCCCACCCATCTCAGGACCTGCGCCAGACGTCTGTCTTTATTGGTTGCTAGGGCAATGTCTGACGCGGTCAGGGGTAGGTTGGGTAAGGTCTCGATGCTCAGGGTAGACGTGGTTGGTGCTGGGTCGTCGTCCAGGGTTGGCAACGGTGTGCGGCTGAGGGCGTCTGCGTGCGGAATTGTTTTGCCGGGGCGGTGGATTAGCCGGTAATTGTAGGCGGCAAGAAATTCGGACCACCTTGTCATCCTTGGGGAGAGGATGATTGGTGTGGCCCGGTCTCCTGCCAGTATTCCCAGCAGTGGTTTGTGGTCCGTGATTATGGTGAAGGTCCTGCCGTAAAGGTATTCGTGGAATTTCTTTACGGCCGCGACGATGGCCAGAGCCTCCTTATCCAATTGGCTGTAGTTTCGTTCGGGTTTTGAGAGGGTCCTCGAGAAAAAAGCGATGGGCGCTTCTTTTCCGTCGGCGAGGGTGTGGCTGAGGATGGCTCCTACTCCGAAGGGGGATGCGTCGCACGTTACCGTGATTGGGAGTGTCTCGCTGTACTGGATGAGGACAGCGTCTGATGTGAGAAGGTCCTTGGTTCTGTTGAAGGCGTCCTCTTCTCGTCTCCCCCACGTCCAGGTGGCTGCCTTGTCGAGCAGCCTATGCAATGGCTCCGCCGCGGTCGCCTTTTGGGGCAGGAAAACATTGTAGAAATTTATTAACCCCAGGAACGCTTGTAATTCCGTTTTGTTTCGGGGCTTCGGGGCTTCTTTAATGGCTTTTATTTTGCCCTCGGTGGGGTGGATTCCATGCTGATCTAGTAAATACCCCAGGAACTCGACCCTTGTTGTGTGCAGTTGGCACTTCTCTCTCTTAACCTTGAGCCCCGCGTTTTGGAATCTCCTCAGTACTTCCCGTAGGCGGTCCTCTAATTGTTTCCGATCAGCCCCGGCTACCAATACATCGTCAAAGTACGGCACCACCCCTTTTATGCCCCGGAGGAGTCTTTCCATCAGGCTTTGAAATACCCCCGGGGCTACGCTGACTCCGAATTGCAGCCTCTTGCAGCGGAAGGCCCCCCGGTGTGTGACTATTGTCTGCGCTTCGGCGGTTTCCTCGTCTACTGGCAGTTGCTGATAGGCTTGTGCCAGGTCGAGTTTGGCGAAGACCCTGCCTCCTCCCAGTGAGTGCAAGAGGTGTTGTACTACTGGGACGGGGTAGGCGCTTTGTTGTAGCGCGCGGTTTAGGGTGGCCTTATAGTCCCCACAGATTCTCACCGACCCGTCTGGCTTTATCGGGGTGACTATGGGGGTCTCCCATCGGGCATGATCTGTGGCCTCGAGGACTCCCTGTTCGATGAGCTTGTTTAATTGCTCATCGATTTTGGGTCGGAGGGCGAAAGGTACTCGCCTGGGTTTGAGGCGGATGGGTGCAATGGTGGGGTCTAGGCTGAACGATATTGGGGGCCCCCGGTACTTGCCTAGGTTCCCGTCGAAGACCTCCTGGAAGTCGCGCACGAGCTGTTCCTCCCAGTCTGCTTCGGCGATGTGGTTGGTGCCGGTCACTTCTAGTCCCAGCGGCGCAAACCATTGTAGTCCCAATAGGCTGGGGCGGTCTCGTTCGACGACTGTTAGCGGGAGTATCTCGGTGCGCCCTTTAAAGGTGACCTTGAAGTGCCCGGTCCCCACCACGGGGATGCGATTCCCCTGGTAATCTTTGAGGACGAGTGTTTGGCTCTCCAGCTCGTGCCGCTTCATGGAAGGTACTAGTCGCTTAATTTCCCGCCATGCGACCATGGACAGGTACGACCCGGAGTCGACTTCCATTTTGCAGGGGCGGTCCTCGATCTTGACCTCCACGTGGACCTTCCGACTGTCCCAGTTGGAGGAATGGCCGACGATGACCGTTTGGTGGGTTTCCTCACGCTGGCGGCCTTCGTGTAAACGGCGGTTCCTCGCTTCCCGGCTCCAGCGGCTCTCGCTGTCCCGATCGCGGTTTCTTGGTGGAGTGTTGTTGCGCCTGGTGGTGTCGCGTCTTCGGGGGGTTGTGTCTCGGTGGCGGGGACTGTGGTTCCTCTTTAGGCGGCAGACCTTTGCGATGTGTCCCCGTTTGTCGCAATGGCGGCAGATCGCGTCTAAAAAACGGCATTCTGACCTTGGATGCTCACCCCCGCAGCCGGCACACTGGAACTTTGATCTTCGGTTCCGTGGGTCACGCCGGTCGCGCCCCGTCTGCATGCGATGGACACCTTCCTCGTCGTCTTCCGAGCCTGAGGAGGACTCGAGGTCGCCGTGGTGCGTGGAGGTGGCTGTTCGGTAGTTGTCGTCGGTCGCGGCTGCGGTGGTCCGTTCTGCGGTGCCGGTTTGCTTCAGTTGGGCTGCGGATCTCCGGGTCGCTTCTGCCGCCGTGGCGTCTGCGAGGGCATCAGCGAGGGAGATGTCGCCCTTTGCCATGATCCGGCTTTGCAGGACGGGATCCCGGAGGCCGAGGACGACGCGGTCCCTCAGGGCTTCGTCTAGATCGGTAAACCCGCATAGCCCTCCGAGGTCCCTGAGCTCTGCCACAAACTTGCTGACGCTCTCACCTTGCTTCTGGTCGCGGCGGTAGAATTCGTGCCGACGAATGAGGGTGGGCACAGCGGGTGCGTAGTGGCTCCTCAGCAGGGGTTCGAGATCGTCCCAGTCCATGACCTTCACATCGAGCGGCTTGGCAAGGGCTTTTGCCATTTTGAAAACCGCGGGGCCGCAGTGCGTGAGAAAGACGGCCCGTTTCCTCTGTCCGTTCGCGTCCTTGAGATTGTTGCTCTCTAAGAACATGAGGAATCGGTCGATGTAAGATTCCCATTCTTCAGTAGCGGCGTTGAAAGGAGCGGGTGGCACGTTGCCGCTGGCCATGTTGCCGGTTGCGGTTCCGTGGGCCACGTGCGGTGTGGGATTTGCTAGTATCCCACCTTCGTCGCCAGTGTCGTATATCTCATACGAACAAATGACGCGAGTCAGTGACTTGGTTCAGCTCGTTTATTGGGGTCAAAACACAAGTGGGGAAAGTGGGGAAGAAGCGCGGCTTAAAAAGACCTTCTGCTGAGTGCTGCGGCCAATCGGGTCTCTTTGAATCGCCCGCGATCGGCTCAGCCAATCGCGGTCGATCCCGAGCGACCAATCAGTGCCGCGCACTCAGCCAATCCGGTGGCAGTGCGTTTTAGCCAATCCGGGTTGCCGGATTTCGAGTATGCAGATTTCTGTACAGAACAAATACTATTGTGCTTTTCTAATAAACAGGTAAAGTATTTTTCTTTTCTTTTGATTTTTTCTAACTGACTTTATGACACACGTGCTCATAGAACTGGTTAAACTGGTTAAACTGGTTGCAGCCCACCAAAGTATTTGATTCTGGTCATGTTCTGTTGAGCCAGTCTGGCTGTTCAAAATTAATATAGTAACTAAAGAAAAAAAAGTTTCATTATAAGAAGTCTATCTTCATTTTCTGTCTCATAATGTTCTCATAAGAAATCTATCCCATTTGACACAACCTTCCCCCCCTTCTTTTTTCTGGAAAGGTTCATTCTGTTTTCAAAAGGCTATGGAATCGATTCCAAGCATCACTTCCAAGTCAAAGTTCCACTTAATGCAGACAACTTTAAACATTTGAATGGAGCCACATCAGATTATGTTGCTTAAAAAACATTTTGGCTAATTGCAATACACTCTGTGCAAGTAACATATATCCTATATTTCATTTTTCTTAAAAAAATCATTCATTACAATATTATATTGTAATAAGAAACAGAGTTAAGGCTATAATAATGTAAATATTGTAAAAACTGAATGCAAAATGTATCAAATTGTTTTGGTGTAGTGGTTAAGATGCTCATCTAGAAACCAGGAGACTCTTGAGTTCCAATCCTACCTTAAGCATGGAATTTGACTGGGTGGCTTTGAATTAGTCCCACTCTCTTAATCCAACTCACACTATCAAGTTGCTGTGGAGAAAAAGAGGAGGAAGAAACATTATATATGTTTGATAGCTTGCCTTACTTCAAAAGTAATAAAGGCAGGATCAAAATCAAATAAATAAATAAATGCAGAAGCAAGGTTAACAAAAAAAGCATTATTTAACCATTAATACACATTCAAAACAAAGTTAAATTGTCATTTATTTGAAATGGAGATATTGAGGAGTGTGACCAAGGAGGAATGTTCACCCAGACAAGGATTCATCAAACATAAAAAAAAAGGTGGACATTCAATTATACCATTGTAGTTAACCTTTTTTTAACCATGCTTTGCAGATACCCTTAAACATGGGCATGCTAGGATCCATTGTGTCCTCTTTCTAGGGTCAGCACACCAAATGGACCAGACCAGAAATTAACTTCACAAGAAATCCACTTATATTGAGATTGGCTATAGCAACAGAATCTGGCATATCTTCTACTCTTCCTTCTTATACTTTAGTGCAATGGTTGTCAACCTTTTCTTCCTCATAGACCCCCTTTAAATTCCTTGTGGCCACAGACCATACCCATGGACCACCCAGACATAATTCAAGATTTAAAACATAAGACTTCTTCAAGACTTCCGGGACCTCCTGTGATGACACCATGGTGCCCTAGGAGTCCACAAACCACAGGTTGAGAACCACTGTTTTAGTGAATTAGGGAGGCTTCTGCCTGATTAATTTTGGGGTGTTCTATGTTTATTCTGGACTTCAAAAATGTTTCAGCCCCTTTGCTAAGCAATGCTTCCTATCTATTTATTGATTGATTTTTATCCTGCTTTTATTATTATTATTTAAATAACTCAAGGCAATGAACATACATAATACTTCTTCCTCCTCCTATTTTCCCCACAACAATAATCGTGACATTAGTTAGGTTGAAATTCAATACTTGCCCAAGGTCATGCAGGTCATCCTTCTGAGTCTCTAGGAT